ATTAGTTAGGTCAGATGTTTGAACTACGTTCGACCTGATTCCTTTAAAAAAAGTATACGTAGGCATCCTTTCACAGTTCGGTCCAACCAAATACGAATTCAGAAGAAAAATCCAAAAAATCTGAAAAATCCAGTATCTGAAACTGGGGCAAAGATTTTATTTTACTTTTGAAAGAGTCGATTCCAAGAGTTGTAAGTTTACAATCCCTTATTTTGAGTCTACTTTAAGCCTTCATGTCATCCTTTCTTTCCAATCCTATCCAAAAACCTTCAAAATAAAGACCTCCCGATATGCTTTCAAGAATGCCAAGAGAAGCATGCAATGAGCAACGGTTGTCGCGTGACATAGAACACTGTCAAGTTGCTCACACAAGAAGGCAAAAGAAAAGAAAAACAAAAGAAAAATAAGAGAGTCTTACTAGTGAAAACCCTCACGGGCACTGTAGGGCGACGGTAAGTAGAGATAAATAAATGAGAGAGACTTGTTGGTGAAAACCCCTCGGGACACCACTAGTCAAAAGTGATTCGTGAAGCTGATGCTAAGAATTGGCATAAACAAGTCCGACCTCAAAGGTCATAAAAATGATAAAAGGGAAGATTGGATTAGTTTGATAGATCGGCCGTTAAGTCCAAAATGCATGTCATGATCATTAAGGCTAGTTATTGAAGAAAAAAAGTAGAAAAAAACCCTTCCTTCTATCCCTCCCAACATGGGCATTTCTTGTTAATATTTTCTCTTTGCATCATTGTGTCCTTCACTCTGAGTCCATCCTTGTCAAAACAAGCAAGAAAAGATTTCAAAATTTGCTACCAGCTTTTCAGTTGCACAAAGTAAATTTGGCCAGCACATTCAATTGTTACTGTCGACATGCCTTGAGGATTTATGCAAAGGCTTCTCCAAAAGACTTTTATCAGCTTATTTGGCACAAGGAAAGATAACCTCAAGGTTAATCAAGGATTCTCTGTAGTACTGGACAAGGATTATGAAGTGTGCACGTCATGCAAAGGGCACTTACCAGTTGTGATTCTCTCTGACAGACAAATTGCTCAAAAATAAGAGGCCATTCACGATATCAAAAATGTCACCTAAGCAAAGATCTCCAGCTGGGATAAGGATGATTGAGCCACAAAACATTAATGGCACTAGGAGCGAAACAATCAGGATTGGTACAGGAAGTAAAGGCCCCTTGAAATCAACAATAGAGCCTCCCAACAGTATAGCCAACTACCAATGTAGTCGGTCTTCTAAAAGAGAATGGACACAAAGCCAAGCTGCCGAAGACTCAAGGCCACAAACCGACCACCATTTTCAAAACTAACAAATTTTTCTTTGTTTAAAACAAGAACAAAGTAGTGCAAGGAAAGTGGTTGAATTAAAAAAAAAAAGAGAAAAAGAAGAGAAGAGAAGAGAAGACCGACAAAAGAAATTTTCTCAAATCATTTCCTTTATTTGTCTTGCTAGTGTGCATAAAATGTTGTCATCGCTCTTCACATTTTTCTTCCTCATAGGGTAATACATCCTAGTCTGATGGATTTTCCTTCCAATAAAACTCTTAGTCTGATTAATCATTCTCCTAAGATAAAGAGCCCTAGTCTGATGAATTTTTTAATAAGATAAAAGTCTTAGTCTAATGAATCTTTCTCCTAAGATAAACAACCTAGTCTGATGAATCGTTCTCTTAAGATTAGAAATCTTAGTCTGATGAATCTTTCCCCCAAGACAAAAAGCCCTAGTCTGATGAATTTTCTCCTAGGATAGACGTCTTAGTCTGATGAATCTTTCTCATAAGATAATAATAATTATAAAAAAATCTAGTCTGATGAATTTTCTCCTAGGATAATTAAAAAAAAAAGAAGCCTAGATTTTAAAAAAGGAAGGGGTCAGTTTCAGTTTCCTCAAGTTGTTAATCTTTAGTTTTCCTTAAGTTCAGGGGTCCCGCTTGAAAAATATGATCAGTTTTAGTTTCCTTAAGTCTTTCATCTTTAGTTTTCCTTAAGTTCGGAGGTCATGCCTGGAAAATAAGGTCAGTCAAGCTTAATTCATAGTTTTCCTCGAGCTTAATCTCAAATCTAGGAGATGCACTTACTAGTTTGGGTCATTTATGTTCATTCCTAGGAGACACACTTTCTAGTTTGAGTCACTGAGATTTCACCCCTAGGAGACGCACTTCCTAGTCTGGGTCTTTCAGGATATACTTTTAGGAGATGCACTTCCTAGTTTGGTTCATTCAATCCTCACCTTTAGGAGACGCACTTCCTAGTTTGATTCATTCAAGCCTCACCTCTCGGAGACACACTTCCTAGTTTGATTCATTCAAGTTTCACCTCTAGGAGATGCACTTCCTAGTTTTGGTCGTTTAAGTTCATATAGGAGATTCACTTACTAGTTTGATTCATTCTTGTTATACTTTTTTTAGGAGACACACTTCCTAGTCAAAGTTTGAGTTTTACTCTTAGGAAAGCACTTCCTAGTAAAGGTTTGTCAGTTTTAATCACATGAGACGCACATCCTAGTCGGGTCTTTATTTTTACTCTCTTCATCGTATCCTTCATCAATAGCATATGTGATTTACAGTTTTCCTAACAACTCACATATTTTTCTAGTAAAAATTGGGGCAGAAAATTTTATTCGTTTTGTTTGTTTTGATTGCAGGCGCCCACCTGGAGAACAAGGGTCGACATTTCAGAAATAGTTTTCAAGTTTTAAGTCAGTTGCAGGCGCCCACCTGGAGAACGAGGGAATTCATTTCAAGTTTTAAGTTAGTGCAGACGCCCACCTGGAGAATGAGGAAATTTATTTCAAGTTCAAGTCATTGGCAGACATCCATCTAGAGAATGAGGGAATGTATTTCAAGTTCAAGTCATTGGCAGGTGCCCACCTCAAGAATGAGGGAATTTATTTTAAGTTCAAGTCATTGCCAGGCGCCCACCTGGAGAATAAGGAAATTTATTTCAAGTTCAAGTCATTGGTAGGCGCCCACCTGGATAATGAGGGAATTTATTTCAAGTTCAAGTCATTGGCAGGAGCCCACCTACAGAATGAGGAAATTTATTTCAAGTTCAAGTCATTGGTAGGCGCCCACCTGGATAATGAGGGAATTTATTTCAAGTTCAAGTCATTGGCAGGAGCCCACCTACAGAATGAGGAAATTTATTTAGAGTCCAAGTCATTGGCAGGCTTCCACCTGGAGAATGAGGGAATTTATTTCAAGTTCAAGTCATTGGCAGGCTTCCACCTGGAGAATGAGGGAATTTATTTTAATTTTTTAAGTAAGTAGCAGGCACCCACCTGGGGAACGGGGGACTTCATTTAAAGTTTTAAGTTAATAGCAGCGCCCACTTGGAAAACAAGGGTATTTATTTCAAGAGTTTTAAGATTCAGTTATAGTAGCATATGTCCACCTGAAGAACGAGGGAATTCATTTCAAGTTTCAAGTCAGTAGCAGGCGACCACCAGGAGAACGAGAGAATTCTATTCAAAGTTATTTCAAGTTTCAAGTCAGTAGCAGGCGACCACCAGGAGAACGAGAGAATTCTATTCAAAGTTATTTCAAGTTTCAAGTACGTAGTAGGCATCCACCTAGAGAACGAAGGAATTCTTTTCAAAGTTATTTCAAGTTTCAAGTCAATAGCAGGCGCCCACTTGGAGAACGAGGGAATTTATTTTAGAGTTACTTCAAATTTCAAGTCAGTATCAGGCGCCCACCTGGAGAACGAGGGAAGTCATTTCAGAATTCACTTCAAGTTTCAAGTCAGTAGCAGGAGCCCGCCTGAAGAATTGGATTAATTCAAGTTAGAAGTAGTAGAAGCTCACCTCAAGAATGCAAGTCGACAGTCCGAGATGACCAGAAGAAGAAGTCTCAGTCCAGAATAAAAGAAATAAAAAAGTAAATCCAAAATGCAGAAGCAGATGAAAGATGTGAACTGCTCAAGACATGGTTGAAGTCACGAGCATTGCATGTCCAGTCTTGATCCAAAGAAGCCATGGAAGAATGAATCAGCACCTGCAGCTAGCAAGCATTAAGGTTCAAATCAAAAGTCTGCATGAAGAACTATTCAAGACTCAAATCAAGCTTCAAAAGACTTATAGATAGGAATCTTGTAACTCATAGCTGATAGGCTTGTTTTTAGTTCTTTTAGATTTTGATTTTGATGTAATAACAGGACCGGACCGGAACCTCGACGGAACTATACCTCACTCGACTCTCTCATCATCTTATCACACTCCATCACTTCATTCAAATCTGAACTACACGTGGCATGATTCCTTTATAGCCAAGGATATATAGCCAGCTCAGATATCAGAGCTCGATCACAATCTTTTATCCATCTTTGTTTCGTTTTGAATAAGCATCGGGTCATAAATCAATTACATTGCTTATTGTTCTTTTCTCCGAAAACTCTTCGTGTTTCTAAGCAAAGAGGGGCAGTTGTAAGCACATAATATTTGACCTGCACAACTTTTAAAAGTAGTATTTTAAAGAAATATTTACTTATTTTTATTTTTATAGTATTTCAGTCAACTTTTAATTTTAATTTTAAAACATAAGTTTAAAAAGACAAAAATAATTTTATAATGTTTCTTTTCTTATTATATACACACACACACACACTTATTAGTATTTTATAATATTTATAAAATTTAAAAAATACCAAAAATATTTTCATATATAGTTCACTTAAATAGTTTATTCTTATTAACTAAGATTAACTAGTATATTTTGGTTGTATTTTTATTTTTATTTTTGTTCAATGAAAAAGAATTGAATTTGGGCCAATTGGGAGCTCATTTTCGGATTTTATTGGCCCAGCAAGACAAATGCCTATTCTTCCCAGCCCATTAGCCCATTCTCCACTTAAATGCAAGATTTAATCTTAGCCATCTATTCCCTTCCAATCTAATGGATCATGTCAATTCTTACACCCATATTTAAACCCAATTATAACCAAACCCTAACCTATCTTTTAATCTCCTAAGAGACCAAAATAAAAATAAAAAAGGATGGCAGCCATCTCCCTGGAAAACACCCCTTTAGATTTTAACTATGTTCTTACCTTCAAATTAAAAAAGACACACGCATATACAGAGAAGAAAGGGAGAAACGACCATAATTCCCTTGATTACCGCCACAAACCTCTCATTTTTCGAACAATAAAAAAAACGGCAGCTTGACACCTAATCCCAAAAGGAAAAAGCAGCCACCCCCCATTTTCCAAAAGCTTCAGCTATCTCCTAAATGTGAAGAATTTAGCAACTGATTAATGCATTTAAAAAAACGATGTATTACACCTCCAAGTTGTTTTGCAGTAAGGCAATTTTGCCGATTTGTATCAAAATTAGGATGTTGAAGTCGTTTGAGGTCGCCGACGAGGTTCCATCGAGGTTGTCACCTCCAAGGTTTCTGGTCTTGAAATACTTTCAGATTCAAAGAGCTAAGGTTCTTTCTTATCTCTCTGACTTATGAATCCCTTATTTGCTTTACTTGATATTGTTTTGAGATCTTGCTATTTAATTGACGACTTTTATTCCCATTTAATGTTTTTATTGTTCATGATCTATTTGCTATGACGTTAAAATCTTGACTGGCGTGGGATTTTTGGGATAATCTTTGTTAATTATCGACTATGGGTTAATCAATTGGATATTTGGATTAAGCTTCATCATAAGACTAAAAGTTTGGCATATCTCGACCTAAGTGAATAACACCTTTTAATTTTTCTAGATTTAAATTTTATTGATATAATAGTCCTTAGATTTGGTAAATATATGGGATTGCAGTAATGTTAAGCTTGGGATGAAATTTGTATTAAAGAGCTCTAATGTGTATTTGGACACCAGTTCATGAATTAAAAGAAGGCAGAAGTTGGCATCTTGTGACCTGATTGGTTCATAGGGGTTAAACACTAAAAATAAACAAATTATGAACATCGTAGCTTGCTTGAGGAGCGATTAATAATAAATTATCGTGACTATGGGTACGGTTCCCGTGGCATAGTCATGATATCTAATCCCAATTTGAGTGCGCGTTTCACGCGACTCGACCACAACTTCGAATAATAATAAAAATCAACATGTTGTAGATCGCGGGTGCGTTTCCCGTGATGCGATTCACAATATGTACAAAAAATAATAAGTGCGCGACATCGCAACTTATTCAAATAAATTTCATAAATCGTAGTAACATTCTATTAAAAGCGGTTAGAAAGTAAAAAATGCATAATCAGTCTCAAATATATATTTAATCAGATAATTAGGCCAATTATTAATTGTGATGACCCAAAAGGTCATCACATGTGTTGCAATGAAATTCTACGTTACGAGGCCTTAAAAACCTCCCTTAGCATCACCTCGATTTGCGTGTATAGTCCGAGCGCATAGCCGGAAAGCTTAAATGTGAAAATTTGTAAAAAATGATAAGTTTTGACTGTAAAATGAATAAATTTGTCTTCGGTTAATATTTTGGGTAAACGAACCCGGATCCATGATTTGACGGTCCTGGAGGTTTCGTAGCAAAATATGGGACTTGGGCGTATGCCCGGAATCGAATTTCGAGGTCCCAAGCCCGAGAAATAAATTTTTAAAGGAAATTATTTTCTAAAATTGTTTAAAGAAATTTGAAATGAAATTTGCTTAGAACATGATGGTACGGGCCCGAATTTTTGGTTTCGGCGCTCGGTACATGTCTTATATATTATTTAAGACGTTTCTGTGGAATTTGGTAAAAAACGGATGTCAATTGACGTGATTCAAACTTAAATTGCAAAATTGATGTTTAAAGAAGTTTTAAGAAATTTCATTGATCTCGAGGTTTTATTTGATTTTCATGATGTTATTTTTGTGATTTGATTACACGAATAAGTCCGTAGGATGTTTTTGAGGTTTTGTTTGCACTTGGTTTGAAGTTCCGAGGGCTCGGGTGAGTTTCAGGATGTTTTAGACTTAAAACCAGAAGTTGCAGGTCTCTGAAGCCGCCAGTGCGGTCCACACAAAAACGTGTGCGACCGCGGAAGGGGGCCAGTGCGGTCCGCGATCGGTTTCGAGCGGTACGCAGTAGAGGCCTGTGCGGCCGCAGTCCATTTTGTGCGGTCCGCACATGGGGTCTGAGAGGGGTATAAATAGACGAGATTTTCAGTTATTTTGTATTTTTCAAAAACCCCAAAAACATAAGAGACAATTTTTCAAACAACCTTTCTTCTCCAAATCAATTGTAAGTCATTTTTAACTAGTTTTCTTCAATCATTAACATCTTTTAACATAATTTCAACTTCAAATCAATGTTTTTCATAGGGGAAATTGAGTGTTTTGGGTAGAACGTAGGTTTTTCAAAAATTGGGGATTTGGACCTCGATTTAAGGTCCGATTTCAAAACAAATTACATATTTGAGCTCGTGGAGGAATGGGTAATCGGATTTTGGTTCGAACCTCGGGTTTTGACCACGAGATAAATGAAATGGGAGCGGGTGGCATGCCTGTCACAAGATACATGACAAGGGATCGGGTTGCACGCCTGCAACAAGAAGTGAAAAGAAAGAGAAATCTGCTTTTGTTTTCCTTATTCTTGTTAGTGGTTGGATTTTGATTCCTTTATAGTTCTCTTGATATTTTGTTTTTCCTGCTATTCCCCGATGCATGTTTCCCCCTCCCATCCTTGTTTATTCCTGCTTTACTTTCCGCTGTATATCATATAACTGCACAGGTTTATCTGATGTCTGGTCCTAGCCTCGTCACTACCTCACCGGGGTTAGGCAAGGCACTTACCAACACATGAGGTCGGTTGTGCTGATGCTACACTCTGCATTTATGTGCAGATACCGAAGCAACATTGGGTCAGCAGCAGTAGCTTGAGAGCCAGCCTTCAGTCCACCGAGACTCCGAGGTAGTCCTGCAGGCGTTCGCAGGCTTGACGTCTCTTCTATGAGTTATTTTGTTCTGTTATCATTGTATCCGAGACAGACATCGTTCCTTCTTTCAAACGTTTGTATGTAGCAATCATATAGAGTCCGTGAATGTTGTGACACCAGTTTCTGAGTAGAGGCATATGTTGATTTCCTTATTATTTTGGCTTGTTTTGTTTAAGTCTTCCACTTAATCTCATATTCCGCTATTATTTACATGTTTATCACCTGGTAATGCAAGTTGTTAAAAGGATTAAAATAAAGGTGTAAAGAATTTTCTAAATTTCATGGCTTGCTTAGCTTCTACGAGTAGGCGCCATCACGACTCCTGAGGGTGGGAAATTCGGGTCGTGACAAGTTGATGTCAGTGCTCTAGGTTACATAGGTCTCACAATTCACGGACAAGCTTAGTAGAGTCTGAGGGATCGGTACAAAGACGTATGTATTTATCCCCTAGAGGCTACAGGGTTAGGAAAAACTTCACATTTGTTCCTTCTTGTCGTGCGGTTTGTTTCCCAATGCTAATTGAATTTCCACTCTGTTCTTTCGCAGATGGCAAGAACATGCACTTCCTCATCCACTGACCAGTAGCCCGAGCCCCCAACAGCAGTTCCCACGAGGAGCAGAGGGCGAGACCGAGGCTGTGCTTGAGGTCGAGGTGGGGGCAGAGCTCAACCCCGAGTAGCAGCACAAGTGGCGGAGCCTTAGTATGACTTTGATGACGAGGTTCCAGCCCCAACAGTTCTGGTGGGCCCACCTCAGGTCCCAGAGGGGTTTATTGCTACCCCAGTTCTTCAGGATGCTCTGGTCCTTCTAGTGGGCCTCATGGAGAGTGTCACCCGAGCAGGCTTGCTTCCTATAGTACCAGCCATCTCTCAGGTTGGAGGAGGAGCCCAGACTCCTACTACTCGCACTCCGGAGTAGGTAGCTTCCCAGATTCAGACTCCAGCGGTTCAGCCAGCTGGAGCAGTTCAGTCGGGTGTGGTAGCTCAAACCGATGATGGAGCAGCTATGTCTGCCGATGCTTTGTGGAGGTTGGATAGGTTCACCAAGCTCTTCACTGCTACTTTCAGCGGTGCATCTATTGAGGATCCCCAGGAATATCTAGACAGGTGCCACGAGGTTCTCAGGAACATGGGGATAGTTGAGACCAATGAGGTCGATTTTGCTACTTTTCGCTTATCCAGATCCGCCAAGATTTGGTGGAGAGATTATTGCTTAGCTAGACCAGCCGGATCGCCAGCCTTGACTTGGGAGCAGTTTACGCAATTATTTCTGGAGAAGTTTCTCCCCATCACTCAAAGAGAGGCCTATCGGAGGCAGTTTGAGCGCCTCCAGCTAGGTTCTATGACTGTTACCCAATATGAGACCAAATTTGTCGACTTGGCTCGCCATGCCCTTGTCATCCTTCCTACCGAGAGAGAGAGAGAGGGTGAGGAGGTTTATTGATGGTCTTATTCAGCCAATTCGTCTTCAGATGGCTAGGGAGGCTGGGAGTGAGATTACTTTTCAGAAGGCGCCCATTGTGGCCAAGAGAGTGGAGTTGGTTCTGTCAAAGGGAGGTGGTCATGGGTCGGATAAGAGGCCCTGTCATTCAGGAAGATTCAGTGATACCTCGTCTGGAGGTAGAGATTGATATGGTAGAGGCCATCCCCCTAGGCCTTTCTAGTCAGCACTTCAGGTTTCTTACGGTGCTTCAGGTAGCCGTGGTCCTCAGATGCAGTATTCTGATCAGCAGTCCTACAGTGCACCACCAGCACCTATTAGTGCACCAACGCTTCAGAGTTTTCAGGGTCGTCAGCCCCAATAGCTAAGGGTTTGTTTTACTTGTGGCGACACGAGGCACATTGCTAGGTATTACCCTCAAGCTTCGAGCAGTTCTCCGCATCAGGGTTCCCGTGCTATGGTTCAGGCACCAGGTGTCCGATAGGCCACCCAGCCAGCTAGAGGTAGGGGTAGAGGTGCTAGAGGTGGAGGTAGAGGAGCTAGAGGTGGAGCTCAGGCCGCTAGAGGTGGAGGCCAGCCAGCTGCAGTCCATCCGAGAGATGTAGTTCAGGGTGGTAGGGCCCATCCTCGATGTTATGCTCTCCCAGCCAGGCCTGAGGCTAAGGCTTCAGATGCAGTTATTACAGGTACGGTTCTGGTTTATGATAAAGATGCTTCAGTGTTGTTTGATCCAGGGTCTACATATTCATATGTGTCATCTTATTTTACACCGTATTTGATCATGCCTAGTGATTTATTGAGTGTTCCTGTTTATGTGTCTACACCGGTGGGTGATTCTATTATGGTCGATCGAGTCCATCATTCTTCTGTTGTGGTGATTAGGGGTCTTGAGACTCGTGTAGATTTGTTGCTTTTAGACATGGTCGATTTCGATGTTATATTGGGGATGGATTGGTTATCACCTTACCACACTATCTTGGACTGTCATGCAAAGACTGTGACCTTAGCTTTACTGGGTATGCCTCATTTAGAGTGGAGAGGGACTCCTGGTCATTCTACCCGCAGTGTTATCTCATATGTGAAGGCTTAGCGTATGGTCGAGAAGGGGTGTTTGGCCTATTTGGCATATGTTCGCGATTCTAGTGCTGAAGTTTCATCTATTAATTTTGTGCCCGTCGTTTGTGAGTTCTCTGAGATATTCCCTTCAGACTTGCCGGGTATGCCACCCGACAGGGATATTGATTTCTGCATTGATTTGGCTCCAAACACTCAGCCCATTTCTATACCGCCGTATTGTATGGCCCCGCCTGAGTTGAAAGAGTTGAAGGAACAGTTGCAAGACTTGCTTGGGAAGGGTTTCATTAGACCTAGTGTTTCGCCTTGGGGTGCGCCAGTGTTGTTTGTTAAGAAGAAGGATGGGTCGATGAGGATATGTATTGATTATCGATAGTTGAATAAGGTTACGATCAAGAATAAGTATCCATTGCCGAAGATTGATGATTTGTTTGATCAGCTTCAGAGTGCCAAGGTATTTTCAAATATTGACTTGAGATCTGGCTACCATCAGTTGAGGATTAGGGCATCCGATGTCCCTAAGACCGCTTTTCGCACTCGGTACGGGCATTATGAGTTCCTGCTCATGTCATTTGGGTTGACCAATGCCCCAGCAGCTTTTATGGATTTGATGAACCGAGTGTTCAGACCTTATTTGGACTCGTTCGTGATAGTATTCATTGATGATATTTTGATATATTCCCACAGCCGGGAGGAGCACAAGTAACATCTTAGAGTGGTTCTTCAGACCTTGAGGGATAACCAGTTATATGCTAAGTTCTCGAAGTGTGAGTTTTGGTTGAGTTCAGTTGCATTTCTGGGTCATGTTGTATTAGCAGAGGGTATTCAGGTTGACCGAAGAAGACTGAGGCAGTCAAGAACTGGCCTAGACCAACATCAACTATAGAGATTCGGAGTTTCTTGAGATTGGCAGGATACTATCATCGGTTCGTGGAGGGGTTTTCATCTATCGCAACCCGATGACCAGGTTGACCCAGAAGGGTGCCCAGTTCAGATGGTCGGACAAATGTGAGGCGAGCTTTCAGAAGCTCAAGACAGCTCTGACTACGGCACCGGTGTTGGTTTTGCCCACATGTTTAGGGACTTATACACTCTATTGTGATGCATCTCGTATTGGACTCGGTGCGGTGTTGATGCAGGATGGCAAAGTCATTGCCTATGCTTTGCGGCAGTTAAAGATTCATGAGAAGAACTATTTGGTTCATGTTTTGGAGTTGGCAGCCATTGTTCACGCATTGAAGATTTAGAGGCATTATCTGTATGGCGTGGCATGTGAGGTGTTCACGGATCACAAGAGTCTTCAGTATTTGTTAAAAAAAAGGAGTTGAATTTGAGGCAGAGGAGGTGGTTGGAGTTGTTGAAGGATTATGATATCACTATCTTATATCACCCGGAAAAGGCCAATGTGGTGGCAGATGTCTTAAGTAGGAAGTCAGCCAGCATGTGCAGTCTTGCTTATATTTCGGTCGGTGAGAGACCGCTTGCAATGGATGTTCAGGCTTTGGCCAATCAGTTCGTGAGGTTGGATGATTCTGAGCCCAGTCGGGTGTTAGCTTGCACGGTTGCTTGTTCTTCTTTATTGAAGCGTGTCCGTGATCGGTAGTATGATGATCCCTATTTGTGTATCCATAGAGACATGGTGCAACACGGAGGTGCCAAGCAGGATACCTTAGGTGATGATGGAGTTTTGAGATTGCAGGGTCGAGTTTGTGTGCCTAATGTAGATGGGCTCCGAGAGTTGATTTTAAAGGAGGCCCATAGCTCTCGGTACTCTATTCATCCGGGTGCCGCAAAGATGTATCAGGATTTGCGGCAGCATTATTGGTGGCGTAGAATGAAAAAGGATATCATTACATATGTGGCACGGTGTATGAATTGTCAGCAGGTTAAGTATGAGCATCAGAGGCCTGGTGGATTGTTTCAGATGATTGAGCTTCCCGAGTGGAAGTGGGAGCGGATCACTATGGATTTCGTTGTTGGACTCCCGCAGACTCGGAGGAAGTTCGATGCGGTATGGGTCATTATTGATAGGCTGACCAAGTCAGCGCATTTCATTCCTGTGGCAGTCTCCTATTCATTCGAGAGGATAGCTGAGATCTATATTCAGGAGTTTGTTCGTTTTCATGGTGTGCCTGTATCTATCATTTCGGACCGAGGTACGCAGTTTACCTCGCGTTTCTGGAGAGCAGTTCAGTGAGAGTTGGGCACGTGGGTTGAGTTGAGCACAGCATTTCATCCTCAGACGGATGGGCAGTTCGAGCGGACTATTCGGATTTTGGAGGATATGCTCTGAGCTTGTGTCATTGAATTTGGGGGCCCGTGGGATCAGTTCTTTCCTTTAGCAGAGTTTTCCTACAATAACAACTACCAGTCGAGTATCCAGATGGCTCCTTATGAGGCTTTATATGGTAGGCAGTGTTGATTTTCGGTTGGATGGTTTGAGCCGGGAGAGGCTCGGTTGTTGGATACGGATCTAGTTCAGGAGGCCTTGGACAAGGTCAGGATTATTCAGGATAGGCTTCGTACAACTCAGTCCAGGCAAAAGAGTTATACATACCACAAGGTTCGAGAAGTGGCTTTTATGGTCGGTGAGCGGGTATTGCTCCGAGTGTCGCCTATGAAGGGCGTGATGAGATTT